TCATAGCACTCAAAGGGGACAAATAAAAATCAAACAATACAAATATAGGCTGATTGATCCAGTGGCCTCACCCTATCTAGAGTACATTTTTCAGAGTGAAAACATTGGAAAAGTTTTGATCAACATGAGAAGCAATTTGCCTCAACTATCAGCTGGTCATTTTATTGCCTGAAGTGCTTCTCCTTAACTATGTACTTAAAAGTTTGTGTATTAACTGTCCATACAATCAAAATATTAAATCTTGGTTTTAGCAATAATCCTTAGATTGTTCCACTGTTTTTCACTTCTATTTTCAAAAATTTGTCCATCTTTCTTCCCCTTTGTTTATAGTGTAAATGTTTCCTCTACTAACAAAAGTCATCCACCACATTCTTGAATAACTTTTAAAATTAATCTTTCAAATAAAACTTTGTCAAAGATTGTCTGGAAATATCATCACTATCCAAAACAAGCAGAACAAAAGAAATAGTAAGACTTAGAGCAAAAATCCGTAAAAGCCTCTAGTTAGGCTAACTAGAAAAAGGGAGAAAGGAATCAAATGACCAATATCAGACCTGAAAGAGGGGATATCACTACAGATCCTATGGAATTTAAAGGATAATAAAGGAATATTATGAACAAGTCCATGCCCATACATTTGATAACCATTTCAAGAAAATGGACCAATTTCTTGAAAAACAATCAGATAAAACTCACACAAGAAGAGAGGATGTGAATAGGCCTATGTCTATTAAAGAAATTGAAGCAATAATTAATAACCTTCCAAAAAAGAAAGCATCAGGCTTAGATGGGTTCACTGATGATTTCTAGCATCATTTAAGGAAGAAATTATACCAATTCTCTACAGTCTCTTTCAGAGGCCAGAAACAGAAAAAAATATTTTCTAACTCAACCTACGGGGCCAGTATTGCCTTAATAGCAAAACCAGAAAAAGACATTATAAGAAAAGGAAACTACAGACTAATATCTCTTTTGAACAAAAACACAAAAATCTTCAACAAAATACTAGCAAATATAATCCAACAATGTATAAAAAGAATTATATACTACACTAAGTGGGATTTATACTACACTAAGTGTAAAATTATATACTACACTAAGCAAGGCTTGTTTAACATTTAAAACTCAATTAATGTAATCCATCACATCAATAAACTTAAAATGAAAAATCATATGATGATGTGAATGGATGCATGAAAAGCATCTGACAAAATCCAAACCCATTCATGATAAAAGCTCTCAGTAAACTAGGAATAGACAGAAATGTCCTCAACTTGATAAACATTATCTACAAAAAACCTGCAGTGAGAAACTGAAACCTTCCCACTAAGATCAGATAGAAGGCAAGGATGTCCTTTCTCATCACTATTTTTCAACATACTGGAATTCCTTGCTAGTACAATAAGGCAAGAAAAGGAAATAAAATTATTACAGATTGGAACAGAAGAACTGTCTCTGTTTACAGATGGCAGGCCTGTCCATGTGGAAAATCTGAAAGAATCAACATGAAAACTCTTCAAATGAATAGGTGATTATAGCAAGGTTGCAGGATATAAGGTTAATATGCAAAAGTCAATTACATTACATTTCTATATACTAACAATGAACAAGTGGAATTTTAAATTAAAAGCACAATAGCATTTATATTAGCATACAAAAAATGAAATATTTAGGTATAAATCTAACAATATATAGAAGATCTATATAAGGAAAACTATAAAACTCTGACGAATGAAATCGAGGAACTAAATAAGTGGAGAATATTCCATGTTCATGGATAAGATGATTCGATATTGTCAAGATGTCATTTCTCAACTTAATCTATAGATTCAATGTATCCCAATCAAAATTCCAGGAAGTCATTTAATGGCTATTGGCAAACTGATTGTAAAGTTTACAGAGTCAAAAGAGCCAGAATAGCTTATACAATAATGAGAGAGAAGAACAAAAATGGAGGACTAACACTGCTATACCTTAAGACTTACTATAAAGCTACAGTAAACTGAGGGTTCTAGAGGGGAGGGGGGTGGGGAGATGGGTTAGCCTGGTGATGGGTGTTAAAGAGGGCACGTATTGCATGGAGCACTGGGTGTTATACGCAAACAATGAATCATGGAACACTACATCAAAAACTAATGATGTAATGTATGGTGATTAACATAACATAATAAAAAAATTAAAAAAAAAAAGCTACAGTAATCAAGACAGTGTGGTATTGGTGAAAGAATGGACAAATATGTCAGTGGAACACAACAGACAGCCCAGAAATAGATCCTCATGAATACAGTCAAATGATCTTTGACAAAGGAGCAAAAGGAATACAATGGAGCAAAAACAGTGTCTTCAACAAATGGTGCTGGAACAACCAGACATTTACATGCAAAAAAATGAATTTGCATATAGACCTAACCCCCTTCAGAAAAATGAACTCAAAATGGACCATAGACTTAAATGTGAAACACACACTATAAAACTCTTAGAAGAGAACATAAGAGAAAACCTAGATGATCTTGGGTATGGTGATGCCTTTTTAGATACAACACCAAAGACATGATCCATGAAGGGCGCCTGGGTGGCTCAGTTGGTTAAGCGACTGCCTTCGGCTCAGGTCATGATCCTGGAGTCCCGGGATCGAGTCTCACGTTGGGCTCCCTGCTCAGCAGGGAGTCTGCCTCTCTCTCTGACCCTCCCCCCTCTCATGCTCTCTCTCTCAAATAAATAAATAAAATCTTAAAAAAAAAAAAAAGACATGATCCATGAAAAAAATAATTAAAATTAAAAACTTCTGCTCTGTGAAAGATAGTATCAAGGGAATTAGAAAACAAGCCACAGACTAGGAGAAAATATTTGCAAAAGACACATCTGATAAAGCACTGTTATCCAAAATAAACAAAGAAACCCTTAAAACTCAAAAGTAAGAAAACAACCCAATTAAAAAATGAGGCAAAGACTTTTACAGACACCTTACCAAAGAAGCTCTGCAGATGGAAAATAAACATATGCATAGGAAAAGATGCTCCACTTCATTTATCATCAGGGAGATGCATTTTAAAACAGTAAGAGATACCATTACACACCTAATAGAATGCCCAAAATCTAAACCACTGAAAACACCAAATGCTGGTGAGGTTGTGGAGCAACAGGAACTCTCTCCTTCAGTGCTGGTGGGATGCAAAATGGTACAAGCTACTTTGAAAGAGAGTTTGGTGGTTTCTTACAAAACTAAACATATTCTGACCATATGATCCCCAATCACACTCCTTTGTATCTACACAAAGGAGCTGAAAAGTTCCGTCCACACAAAAGTCTGCAGATGAATGTTAATAGTAGCTTTATTCCTAATTGCCAAAAGCAGGTAGGTAAGGAGTTAACAACAAATTTGCTAAGTTGTATAAATTCCTAAAACACATCAGAAATCTATGAATTAGATTTCACTGATATGAGAGATTCATAAACTTGGCACACATAATATAGTAAAGTAAAATATTGTTTCCAACCCAATTTGCTTCAAGGACTTCATTGAAAATGCCATGGGAAAATATTTTTTTGCTCTATTCATTTTCAGGTCATGTAACTACATCCTTATGGATTGTCTAATGTATATCAGAAAAAAGTTGATATTTTAGAGACTGCATAGCTCTATAACCCTTTTAAAAAAGATACTGAGCAAAGGGTGCCTGAATGGCTCAGTCGGTTAACTTTTGATTTCGGCTCCGGTCATGATCTAGGCTTATGAGATCAAGCCCCATGTTGGGCTCCATGCTGGGAGAGGAGCCTGCTTAAAATTCTCTCTCTCCCTCTCCCTCTGCTCCGCCACCCCCCCCAAAAAAACCCCAAAACAAACAAACAAAAAAAAAACCCACAAGAAAAAAGAGATACTGAGCAAACAGAAATCATGGGTGGTAAAAGATGTCAGAGAATCTTCATTTATAAAAGTTAGAAGCTTTATCATTTTAAAATAATTTTTTAAAAATAAGACTGAGAGACTAATGTAATAGTTATAATCCACAAACTGTGGTAGAATGCAAAGAGCACTGACTTGAAAGACTTATATTAAAATTTCAGTTCCACCATTTTTTAGCTATGTATGAATGATTTCAGGCAGGTCACTTACCATCTCTGAGCCCCAAGATCCTAATATGTAAAATGATAATGATGCCCATATCAACCTCACAAGGTGGTTGTGATAACACGCTCAAAGATACAATGAATTAACTTACATGAAAGTGCCGGGCACACTGACTAGCATCAAGTAGCTCTCAGCAAATACCTCTTCCTTTCCTTCTTAATAAATAGAACTCAGAGTCTTCTGTATAACTCTTGACAAAAATAAAATCAATGTCTTTTTCATAGATGAACGGTTTCTTCACTTGAGTTTTTATAGGAGATATACTCTAAGTATAGATAGGATTATAGAAGTATGGAAACAAAAAGCAAAGAAAACATATCTTGAGAAGCATCTAATAAGCAGCTTTCTTTGTTTCCCGCTGACATGCTTTGTGGTTACAATGCAGGCTTCCAATGTACACCGGATCAAAATTAAAATTCTAGGCAGGCATTCAACTTTTATGATTGCGTCCATTCTTCACTGAGCGTGGGAAACGAATGCTTTAGAAGTTATTTATTGAAGATATTCCCATAGTACTATTACAAAGTTCACTTCCAAAAGAGGTCCTATCCCTGTAATGTATCTGAGTAAGCGAAAGCTATACCAGGTTTCTTGCGTTGTACTTTAAAAATTGCAGCAGAATACTAAAACCATATTTTTAAGAGACTTTTCTGAGGCTAGGCCACAGCAATTTTACAAAGGTCCATGACAGGAAAAGAGACTAAACAAATTTCAAAAATAAAGAACACCAATCTAAAATAATTTATGACCATATTTTGAATAAAATTAAATACAGAATAATTAGCAGAAAGCATTTAATTATACTTTTCTTATTATGAATGTAAAGTTGGCAGAAATGCAGTAAGACTAATCAAAATCAGGTAATAGTTACCTCTGTGGCCTTGCTTGATGGTTCCAGTCCAATCATATTTGCTACTATTAACTGATGTAAGAGTTGAACTTGAGCCACACTCAGGAAGAAGTCCAGGTTTGTGGTTATATTCACTTCCAAGGAATGGCCACACACTAAAATCTCCTGAAGGAAAAAAAAAAGTTGAATACAGATAAAGATACATGATAGCCATTAGATGATAATTTATCATTCTTACTTATTTGACCTTTACCATGTTGATGAATTCTCCTGGGACTCAAGTTCATATGTTAATGAGAAGAGCAGAAATGGAGAGCACAGCCACTCAACATAGTTTAATGGATTAATTTAATAGACATTTATGAGGTCCTGCTGTGCTCTGGGCCGTGCGCTAGTTGCAGGGAAACAAACTAACAACACAAACAATAATTTTTTTACCATTTCATATACATTTGGCTTTTTCATACCCCAAACTACTAACATCATTTCCATATGTAAGTGATGATGTAATTCTTTAGCATAATCCTGTTCATTCATTCAAACCAACAAATATTTACTGAGCATCTCCTAAATAACATGTACGATACTCAGCTGCTAGGGACAGCACAAAGAGTAAGGTTGGCTTTGAATGGCAAGCTGCTCTTGAGGAGATTACAATCTAGTGGGCAGACAGATGTAAACAGGCAATTGTAGGCAAGAAATTACAATCACAAGTGGTATGGTTTGAGTATTCTCCAAAGTATACACTCCAAATGATTTATAACAAAATAGTGCTGAAGCCAAAGATAGCTAGACTAATTAATTTCACTTCTTCGAGTTGCTAAAATCTTGGCTGCATTAGGTAGATGTCCACTACTTAACTGATGCTGTTCTGCATAACTTGAGTCACTTCAACATTCATCATTGGAAACCCATTCAGGGAAGGAAAGAAGAAGAAAAAAACAGACCCGAAGTTTCACTTAATAAGCAGAAGTTCTGTCTCCTGTCATGAAGAGAATGTGGACAATGTTCGAATGCTTGGAAATATCCAAAGAACCTTCTCCTTACTAGTGTCATCTAAGGGAATGGATTTAAGGAGACTTACAATGGGTCCAAATGCAAACTACACAGTGCAGAGTAGATTTTAATACAGCCATAAAGAATAGTATGTTGGAAATGAATATTCCTTTTGCTTTTTGGGTTAAATAACCTTCCCCCCCACAAGTTCCCTGTATTTACTTATTATAATTAGAATTCTTATTCTTCACGCACATGTGTGCTCTCTCTCTTCCTCTCTAACATAAATAAATCTTTAAAAAAATTATAAAAAGAGGATAGAAGCAGTTAATAGGATTATTATGAGGATTAAATGAGTAACTACATGAAAGCAGTAACAGGACTAGAAAGTATTCATTAATTTTTAGTTATAATAATAACATTAATAATAAGCAATTTGACATCCTGTGCGCTAAAACTAAGAAAATCCCTAACTTACAAAGAGAAGCTATTCCATATACTCTATATATACTCCATTATATAGACTAAAATGAAACCTAAATTAAGCTCTCACCTCAGTGTGCATATTTTCTGGAGAAATTATTTTGGTGAAAATGATAGCAGGTGCTCCAGTTATTCGGACAGAAAAATCTGTTAAAATGGGAGTCAAAATTGCTCTTCTTTCTTGATGTCGCCGTATGCTAAAAGATAAAGTAAAAAATTATTAGCCATTTCATTTTTTTCGAGGCTTTTTTTCATTAAATTGGTACAAGTGTTCACTACAAACAAGTATGACAAAACTACATTATTATTTTGAGTGCCTATTTGTACAATTTATAGTCATAGTTTTACAACTTCAATTCTTAACTTCAGATTAATAAAAGATAGCATAAAATTACTGAGAAATCCAGATGCAGTTAATTTCATATTAATCTCATCCTTTCAACAAATTACTTGGCTTTTAATTCCTTTTGTTCTTACAAATAGTTTAATCTTTTGTTACCAATAATGAACTTCCTATTTTGGGATAATTTTTAATTTCTTATTTTTACTATTTCTGACCTAGTTGGCAACTGCCGTCTTTCCAACCTCATTAGGTTCACAAGTATATCTTCTTAATCTCTGAACGACCTTCTTTTTTTAAGCTCTAAGAATCATCTCAATTCGTGGATTATTATTACACATACAGTTCATGAAATAGCTTTTGTGACTTTGATACTGAACGCTTCTTCACAACAACCATGTATGTGAAGTAAAGTCCATTACTAGCCCCATATTACTTACAAGGAAATGAGGATCAGGGGCTAGGTTAAGGCCACCTAAAGGGAACAAAGGTTGCACTGTTGGGTCTGATAGCAGAATAGCATTTGGCCTCTATTTTAATTCTTCCTTATACATTCTCACCTTTGATCATTTATTTAGCACAATATTTCTACTTTACATTCAAAATTGCTAAATGCTAATAATTTCAAAGGAAGTACTGCATGGTAGAAGATGAAATTGGAAAACATTGTTGAGAAACTAAAGCTTGAGCTAGTACAGTTCTTCAAGTCTACTATCCATATTCTAAGTTTTCATTTTATGAAATAATATAGTTCTACGTTTTACTAAGCAAGCTGTACCTCAAAATTCCTTGGAGCCATTAACTTAATATTCCTTATAAACATGTCTCTATTATTCACTTATAAAGTGATAAAGTTGAGATGAGAGAACTGGCCTAAATTATCTCATGAAAAAGCCCCGATAAAACTCAAGTCTTTCTACATCGTTTTCTTCCAGAGTAGTCTAGAAAGTACAAAGTACTAGTATCTTTTGTTCAAATTTGCAATGGGCAAAGCTTTACATGGTGTCTGCCAAAAAAGCAAATTGGATCATCTGGTTCTGTGACATGTAAGTATTGGATTTCAAGAAAGTCAATTTTAAAGAATTAAGAGATCTGGTGAATGGAGGGTAACAGGAAGAAGTATTAAAATCTGTGAATACAGAGGAAAGGTTGTGATCCTGAGAGACACCATAATTATAGCTTAATAGCTCAAGTTCCATAAAATGGTCAATGTGAGAAACATGTAACATCTGATGTGCTCTCATAGGGGAATGTTAAAATATATGATGTATTAAAAATACCTTAAAATGGAAAAGATGGCAGGAAACCAAATAAGAGCAAGTATTAACAAAAACACCCAATGGAAAAAAAAAGTATTTATACATATCATATTTTCCCCAATATGTGATGAATTAAATTAGTAACACAACATATGAAAGACCTATGACCTTAGAAATAAAAAAAACGTAAGTCAACAGTCCTATAAAACTGTAACTTTTCTAGTACATAATGCTAACTTTTCTTTTGTGTTATATCTTGTAAGTCTTTGAGGTAATGATATATATTTTTTAAATCATTAAAAGTTTTTATTGACTGAAAGACTTCAAAAGAAATAAATACTGAAAAAAATCACTACAATAATTAAATTCTGCCAATATTCTACTAGATAAGAGCATAGGATGTAAAATTTAAAAATTTTCCAGAAATGATAAACAGACTCACTAAAATACAATACATAATATATGGGTAAATAGCATTTAACATATAGCTCAAGAAAAAAAATCAATAAACTAGAGTATACATTTAAGAAAATTCCAGGAATGTACTAAAGTAAATTTTAAAATGGAAAATTTAAAAGGAAAGTTAAGAGACACGGAGGGGCAATTCCAACATATTTAATTTGTGTTCCAAAAAGAGAGAACAGAAAGCAAGGAAAAGGGACAAAGAGTTAATGGCTGAGAACTCTCCAGAACTGATGAAACGTAAGAACCCACAGATTCAAGAAGTATAATGAGTACTGGTTTAGAAAAATACAATAAAATCCACTCAGACATCTCTTGGTCAAGGAGCTGATCACCTACAACGAATGAAAGATAGTAAAACCAGCTAAAGAAAACAGGTGATCTGTAGCATGCTAAGACATATGACGTTAGGAGAGCTGTGGAAGAAGTATTTCTCTGGTATACTAGAACAATGATTTTAACGTATTTCTACACTGTCCATAGAAACATGGAAATGGAACAGTGATTCGTACCTGTCAGCTAACACAGAGGATTAAACCCACAGAAATTTATAAAAACCCTGTGTGAGGATATAAAAACAACTGACAATCATAAAGTGCTAAACAAATAACAGGAAAGTAATCATATATGTTAACAAAAACTCTTCAGTTAATTTCTGGGAAGAGTAGATTATAGGTAAGGAAAAGTATGGTTCTCTGAAATTGTTAGTATGCAAGAAGGCATAGGTATGTGCCACCTATACTCATGAAAATATATGTTTAGGAAGGCTCTGGTCATTTTTCCTGGGCTCCGCAAATTATGCTAAGGTTCTTCTGCCCATCTTCCATACATTTTGGAATGACGCTGTAGGAAGTATTAAAGCAGTTTAAGAACCCCATTTCAGAAAAAATTGCATATTATGAAAGACTATACATAAGTAGGAACAATGGTACTAAGGTTTCCAAAATATTCCACTAAAAAGAATAAAAAGTGCTAGATGGTCTGTGTGTGCATCGAACGGTTTTTATTCAACATGAGACTTTCCTGGTATGGCTTTACAGCTGAGCTTCAGATAGAAGATACCTGACCAGAAGATAAACTTAAGTCTTGTTCTGGTAACCCTCTTGCAATGGTTATTCCTTAAAATAAAAAAACAGTAATATTCACAGCCATTTACTGTAAACAATCTACTAATTGGAAAACTGTTACAATTTTTTTTCAGATTTTTAAAAAATTTTATTATTTTGTATTAGACACCATACATTACATCATTAGTTTTTGATGTAGTGTTCCATGATTCATTGTTTGCATATAACACCCAGTGCTCCATGCAATACGTGCCCTCTTTAATACTCATTACCAGGCTACCCCCCCCCCTCCCCTCTAGAACCCTCAGTTTGTTTCTGAGTCCATAGTCTCCCATGGTTCGTCTCCCCCTCCGATTTCCCTCCCCTTCATTTTTCCCTTCCTACCATCTTCTTCTTCTTCTTCTTTTTTTTTTTTAACATATAGTATATTATTTGTTTCAGAGGTACAGGTCTGTGATTCGTCAGTCTTACACAATTCACAGCGCTCACCATAGCACATACCCTCCCCAGTGTCTATCACCCAGCCACCTCATCCCTTCCACCCCCCACCACTCCAGCAACCCTCAGTTTGTTTCCTGAGATTAAGAATTCCTCATATCAGTGAGATCTATGATATACAATGGAATATTATGCAGCCATTAAAAAACACAAAATCTTGCCATTTGCAACGAGGTGGATGGAACTAGAGGGTATTATGCTAGGTGAAATAAACTTATTATTAACTGTACTTATTTGCAGAGATTTCCTCTTATTTTTAGATAGAGGATTCTTATTTATTTATTTAATTTTAAAGTTTATTTATTTAAGCAATCTCTATACCCAACGTGGGGCTCAAACTCACATCCCCAAGATCAAGAGTTACACACTCTTTCCAACTAAGCCAGCCAGCTGCCTAGATAGAAGGTTCTTGAGGGTAATATGAATTCTTTATAATTTAAAAATAAAATATATAATTAAGAGTTTAAACCTATTTTGGTGTTTTGAGTTTTTTCCCAAGAGGAACACTATCCAGTGATCTAATGGAATTAAAATAAAATCCAAACTCCCTTTGACCTATAAAGCCATTCATAATTTATTCCCTTCCCTACCCTAAACTTTATTCTTCTTTTCCTCTCAGCCAGGCATGATCCTTAAGTGTGCAAAACTGATTTCTACTCAAAGGTCCCTGCTCTGTCAGAACACTCTTGACACAAGCACTCCAGGGGTATTTGCATGGGTAACTCATTCTTGTCATTAGGTATTAGACTAGGCCTAATGTAAAGAAATTTCCCAGGGACGCTTATCCCATTATACTGCCATATTACTCACACAGCATTTATCACTGTGTGAAATTTTGAGAACATGGACTGAGTTTCCACTATTGTGCCAGGCCCCTCTGCTAGGTGCTGGAAATATAATGGTAAAGATGGATGTGTGCAGCTCAGTTTAGCAGAAAAAATAACTAAAAATAATCATAAGGGAGGATAAGTAAGATGATAAGGAAAAAACATGCATGTGTGGAAACCTCCAGTAGGGGACCTAATTAACTTATAAAGACATATAAAGTATCAGTGAATAATGCTACAAGAACTACAACCTGAAATGAGGATAATTTAAAGGTACATTTAAATAAAATGCTAGTAAAATTTATTTGGGCAAAATTAAATAATGTTAAAATATTCTCATTCTCTAAACAAAACAAAGCAAGAAGAAATAAACAAAAATTACCCCACCCAAACAAACTAACAAACCAAAACTATGGCTAATATATTTGTGATGGAGTTCACAAGTATTACATTCATTTCAGTCTCTAAAAGAAGGTCTTATGGGTACAGCCGTATTGGAATATCAACTTAATTCAATTTTACAGAGATGTTCAATTGTTAACAGCTCTGGTTATAGTTTCCAGTTGTTTATATCTATATAGTCTGGAACTCTTGCATCTAACTCTACTTGATAGCTCTTTTTTCAAGGAAAAACTTCAAAATAAAACTTCATGGTGGAGGGAGAAGTCAGGGGACTGCTGTGTTTCTCAAAGAAAAGGACATCACAAATTGAGTATATCAATGGGAATCTACCAAGGGAAAAAC